GTCATGATCCCAGGATCCTGGGATCAAGCCCCGCATCGGGCTCCCTGCTCAGCGGGAAGCCTGCTTCTCCCTCTTCCACTACCCCCTGCTTGTGTTCCCTCTCTCGCTGTATCTCTCTCTGTCATATAAATAAAATCTTAAAAAAAAAAAAAGAAAAAATTAATATATGTCCATATATTAAAAAACAATTGAGTTCAGAAAAATATTTAACAACACCCTTTCCAATCCCTTCTCTAAAGTAAAGCCTGTGAATAACTTGCAAATCCCTTCAAGAATATAACTCTATATCTTCTTAAAAATCCACACAAAGTTGATTAATATTGTAAATATTGTTTTCTAATGTCTTTCCTTTTAATGTGTCTTTCATTATGCAAGTAAAACATTTTTAGAGTATAGACATTTATTAGGAAAATCTTCTGGCTTGTCCCCATAGAGTATGACAGGTGGTTTGTGGTAGAATTTTTTCCTGAAGGGCATCATAGAACTACAGTAGTGCATGAGAGTTCATTGCACAGATCTTGTTAACAAATCAGGACTTTGAACATGAATGCCTTAGTTCATTGCTCTATTTCATTCCCTTCATGCAGAGCAGATGGCTTGGTGGACCTGGTGCACTTGCACGTTTCCAGTCCTGTCTTTGTTGATGGGACCTGCTGGCACCTGCCATCTCCGTTTATTCCATCACAGTTCACACTGGAAGATAATTAATGCCATCATTGTTTTTGTTTTATCAAATAACAGCATTTTTAACTGTGTTCTCATATTTGAAGGATTGGATTGGTCATGTAAATTTTAATAAGTTTCTTTAGAATTGCATTTCTTTGGCCTCATAAGGGATTATCCCAGTGAATTTGGAATACATGATAGGAAAAAATAACTAAATGACTTTTGTCAACAGTTCTGTGATAATGGGAAATTGAAATAGGAATCACAGAGTGGGGATAAAACCCGGCCTGGTTTCTAAATACACACATAGGCAAGAAGGGCTACATAATGGGGAGCCTGGGTGGCTCATTCAATTAAGCATCTTCGGCTCAGGTCGTGATCCCAGGGTCTTGGGATGGAGCCCCCCATCGGGCTCCCTGCTCAGCAGAGAGCCTGCTTCTCCTTCTCCCTCTGCTGCTCCCCCTGCTTGTGTTCTCTCTCTGTCACATAAATAAATAAAAAAAATTTTTTTTAAAGGGCTACATAAAATAAAATAGCAACTGCAATAATCATAAAGGATACTCTAGATTTAAAACATGCACATGAAGTAAGACAATTAGGAAATTATTGCCCATTATTGCAAGAGAGCAGATGGTGCTTAAAATACCCGTTAATTTTATGTCATTCTTAAAATCAAACAACCAAAGAGCATATACCATCTATATTTAAAGCGTCTAATACAAACTTTTCTATTTTTGGGGTATGCTAGAGTTGAGCTGAAGAAGAACAAATGCAGCATTAATCTGCCAGTGAGGACACACACGGAGGCTGTCTTGGCAGGGGATTGAAGGAATAGATGAGGGAAAAGATTTCTAAGAAAGCAGTATTCCAAACCCCCCTAGCTCCTGTGTGAAACTCTTCTCTGTTACATATTTTCCCCCTAAATGTCTCTGGTAAGTTACTTGATGTTGAATGTTGAAAGTTCTGAAATGTCTAGATTATGTCTCTAAAATGACATTCATTTTGACATATGGTCATAAGTTTTAGAAAATGTATTTCATGCTTTAGTATTTCCCATTTGATTAGAAAGAATGTTGGAGAGGTTTTTTTGAGTTTTGGTGCTGCTTACACCCATGACCTTCATAATTAATGCTGAATCCTAAGCCCTAAAATGTTTAGTTTGAGTAAGCATGACCAAGATATCTTACTAGATAAACTGCTTTTCTTAGATTTGTGCATAGGTTTATACTACAGTGTAAATGTCAGTGGAATGCATCTTAGAAGGCATTTCTGTAGTATAGATTCTTTATGATCAGTTCATGGTACATTTTTGCCCAATTACTGTGCAGATGTATTTGCTGGTGCTGTTGAGATGAATGGCATCTGTGGAAAAGCTAAATCAGTCTCTGATTTATGCAGACACTCAGCGCGGGACTGAAAAACGTTGGTGCTGAGCACAGATTCTTGTTCAGTTCCTGTTATACTTTACTTTTTGTTCATGTTGGGGATCTTGCTAGTCAGATAGCATATGCAAACTGAAGAAAAGGAACTGGAAGTGCAGATCCATATTACTAAAAGTATCCAATCTGAATTGTGCAGTGGAGAATCTGAAGTCTGTACTCTACTGAGTAACTGATGTGGTTACTTATAAAGACAATTTGGACCGTGCAATTCACTGTGTTTCAAAGAAACATTCTGAGATTGGGAAGTTTATAAACCTAGATTTTTAATAGACACACGAAGAGTTTAATTTTATTAAACTTATATAATATTGTTTGTGTTTATTTCATTTTAAAAGAGCCTCTTCCTCCACTATGGCTCCCTTTATTTTATCCATTTACCTTCTGGAACTGATTGACACTATAGCAGATTGAATTAGATGTATTTTCTGAGACTTTATAATTATTCAGCTTCAAAGTAAATACATGGTCCTTCTTATTTATGGAAACTCCACAGGATAAAGCCAAACAGGCATACTATGGAAGGAATTTTTTTCAGTGAATATCATATGTCCAGCTCCCAGCTGCCTGTTGTCTCAATTACTCAGTAGGGTCTATGGACAAAGTGGTCCTCAGTGGGTAAATTAGGAGTTCTGAGCCTTCTGCTTCAGTGGGTTTGTCTTTGAAGCTAAGACAGAGAAAATGTTTCTCTGCCTGCTATTTATTCCCAGATGTAATAACTATGAAACCAAACCCATGCCAAACACAATGGTTTTGACTTGAGTCAAAAGCGGGGAAACCAAAGGGTGAGGAAACTACAGTTTTGGGGAAATAGAAATAGGACACAGAGGGAAATGGGCATTCAACAGAAAGTCAAGGCACAACCATAGGTTAAATATTCATTCATGCACTGAGCTATGCATTTAACAGAGTATGATAGACTTTTGGGACTGGCGGTTTGCAAGCGGGGAAAACTTATTAAAAATCATTTCAGTCTGCAGATCTGTAGTTTTACAAAGCATGTGTGTGGAGATGTGCAGACAGTAGAATATGTGCTTCAGTAAATTTAACAGGAAGGAACCTGATGACAGCTGTGGTGTTTGTGATTGTGCTGCTCATTAATAAACCTTCAGAGTAAATTTACAGCTAAGTGAAGGGAGGAAAAAGCTAGCCTATTTTATGCCATGTGTACTTATGGTTTAAGCCCACAGCAGAACTAATCATAGAATTGTATGGATTACTGAACACAAATGAGGAAGGTTGAACTTCAAGGAAATGTGCTATTTATAGTTATTTGTATTTTGAGTTGGGGATTTTAACTGTGGTATAAAGTAAGAGTCATATAAAGAGGAAAGATCAATGGAATACTGTATGGTTGTAAGTGGCTACATGCTCACTATTTTTGTGAGCTTTTGATGGTTCTTTAATGGAGGGTGAATATTTTTAAATGGTCAAAAGCATATGAATACATAATATTTTCCACAAATATATGGTGTGCATTTTCCCCTCTGTATAGGTTTAGCTTTTGGTTTTTATTTTATTTATTTTATTTTATTTTATTTTTTTAAAGATTTTATTTATTTATTCATGAGAGACAGAGAGAGAGAGAGAGGCAGAGGGAGAAGCAGGCTCCCAAGGAGCAGGGAGCCCGATGCGGGACTCGATCCCAGGACCCTGGGATCATGACCTGAGCCGAAGGCAGACGCTTAACCATCTGAGCCACCCAGGCGCCCCTAGCTTTTGGTTTTTAATGATTTCTCTTTGAGTCACTGAAAAATTACCTATTTTTATATAGTTATTGTTTAAAGTTGTAGACTCACGTGAGTTTTAATATCAAGTTGCTTCTAAATGTTAGTTTGCCAAACATAAAAACTACACTGCATGGTATTTGTTTATATGATATGTGTGTTTATTTCATGGAGACAGTATGAGATTTATGATAAAGGTCAGGAATCCTAGAAAGCATTCTTGAAGCCGGTTAAACAAGGACACTTACAGCACTCTCCTTATTTCACTGGTGTGAAAATATTGTTACTAACAGTAGAGGATGGACTAGATTTTTAGAACATCTCTGTTGTATAGCTGTTAAAAATAGTGGGTTAAATTATATGTACTGATGTGACAAAGATCTTCAAAATATATTGTAAAGTAAAAATCAAGGTGATAAGTATCTTGTATAGTGTGATGCAATCTTTTTTAAAAACTATCTTAAAAAGATGTAAATAGAAAAACAAATGGAAGGATACAAATGGTTAATTATGATGGCCTATAGCCACTGGAATGAATTTGAGGTGTATAATGCGGGGATGCTCACCTTTTATGCACTTCTATTGTTGGAATTCTTTTTTTATAAGGCTGTTTTTATGTATTGTTCTGTGCTATTTCTAAAATCTAATAAAATTATCTTTATTGTCTTCAATAGTGTTTATGTAGAGAGGTCTAAACTAATGTCTAGATGTGTCTTATAGGCACATGGTAGAGATGTTCTGAAATTTATCTACTTTAGGATATTTAGTTTGTAACTAAAATTTCACTGTAGGGGAGGGTGATAAATACGTGTCTGTACATGCTTATAGTACTTTTAAGGCCTTTAAAACTTTATCCTGCAGTTCCTAATTGATCTCTAAGGTAATATTAATCATTGATTCTAAATCAACAGCATTGATATAAATTATTTAAAAAATTGCTGAAAGAATGAAAATGGAAATTTGCTTTGAAACTATTTGCAGATTGAATGTAATGTTCTGTATTTGTTGTAGTAAAAGAGCCTGAAATTGTATATTGGCTCTTGCTAAGACATGTACAATGTGTGTGTTTATCATTCCCATATAATCAAAACTCACTATTAGACTCTGTAAATTGTATCATGGGCCGTGGTGCTTAAATATTAATGTATTTCATTACTTTTGTTCTCAGATTCATGGACAGTGTGTATCATTAACCAGCAGAGGGCAGTGTCTCTTCACAAATTTTTTTCCTGCAAAGTCTTGACAAGAGTGGGTTTCCCTAATAGCATTTGACCTAATTTGACATATGGAGATGTTAGAGATATTCATTGATTATAAATTTGTAATTGATATGTTTCATGTGGAATAGAAGGTGATAAAAATGAATATAACTTAGTGTAGTAAGGGATATTTGTGCTATTATTTATAATTCTTCTAGATTAGTTGTTTCTTAAAAGAAATGTTCATTTTATGTGTAGGAAGTGTGTGCATTTAGCCTAAAATATCATCAAATCGAAGTGCTTTTCTTTGTGAAATGAATTTATAATGCGCCCACGTCGGTTGCAAGTTGTTCGTGGGTTTGGCCCCTGCATGTTGTATAGTGCAGCTGCTGTGCAGAGGAGCAGTGTGTGCTCACTCACACAGCACAAAAATGAAATAAAATTCACTGGGGGAGACTTACAAGCTGACAAGTAGCAGTGTGTGCAAGACTCTCCTAAGTCTCACGTCTTCCACGGTGAGGTGGCTTGAATGGGGTGTAGCTGGGAAAGGGCTTCAGTGGAAGGACCCAACCTAGACCCCGTCATGTCATGCTCCTCTTATTTAAAAGGAAAAGGGGGCAGAACACATCCATGAGCCTCCTGGGTGAGGAAGTAGTCTTTTTAGAAATGGGAGCTTCTACCAAACATTTAGGGACAGATATTCTCTTGAGATAACTCAGACCTGCTGAGCTTGCTCTTTGCTAAGCTTTTGGAAGGTGACGGTAAAGAGCTTAGTTGGGGACATTAAGTGGCATTAACTTGTGAAGAGAAGACATTTAATTTAGACTGCTTGAGCTTGAGCTGGGTTGGTCATTTATAGGTAGTATCCTTTTAGGCAAGATTTCTTTAAGTTGGTATAATACTACTACATTATAGGTTTAGTTGTAAGGACAGGTGATTATTGTTAGTTACTGAAATAGTGACTCCTACATGTCATGTAATCAATGCTTCTCTCTCTCAAGAAGTGTTGACATTTATTAAACTTTTAAAATCAATTTGAGGTCCCCATCATGTGAAATTGTGCTGCAGCAGCACATCAGTGCATTCCTGCATTTTGCTTCTCTGGTGTGCCCCAGGTACTAGTTGTAAGCCAAGACTCTTTGTTCCATGATGACACTTCTGGGGCAGATCTGATAGCCTGTCATTATTGGGCAGCTTCCACTGACGTACATGCCAGCCACGGTACTAACTGTCCTTCAGAGTAGAACTGTGGGGGTACCCAGTGGGGGAGTGCATTCTTAGCATCTTGGTTCAGAGGGACTTTAAATAGGTCAAGATATTTATTCTTTGGTTTTCATTTGGGCTGTGTCCAGAGCATACTAAAGGACTGTAGTTCTGGAATAAATTTTCATTGAGTCAGTCATACAAGAGACACAAACTGTACTACTGGGAGAAAAGTTCAAATGCTGAGACAACTGTTCTAAAATATCCCTTGTTTTGTTCTTTTTGTTTTTTTAAATTGACCTCCTTTGTAAAATAAAGCAAGAATATGAGACATTTCGAAAATGTAAAAAGCTACTTGAACATATTTGAAAGTAAAAAATATAATTCTTTAATTTGCTGGGTATGTACACGCAAAGGAAAAGAGTTTGCTCTTCCACTGACCCGAGCTTTGCATTTGTGGAAGGGGCTGTCCTTAATTCTGTGGCTGTGGCTAAGAGAGCAGATATACATATGCAGATGCAGGAAGAGGGGACTGAGAGCTGCGAAGATCAGCACTTGCTCTCTCTACTGTAGCCCAGAAAGGCTTGAGAGTTCCAGGAAGTTCTTTACTCCTGCAGCTCCTTAATCTGGCCATGTGGTAACTCTCTGATCTAGCACATGCACTGGCACTGATGTGTATCGGGGATAGAAATTTTATTTTACAAACTCAAGTTATTCAGTAATGGCCGTGAAAAATGACCAAAGATGGAAATGGATCTTTGCCACTGTCAGCTGTTTCAAAGATTTCTTCTATTAAATGCTGTACCCCAAACTATAGAGTGCTCTTCAATTTTTATATAAAAAATAAAATACCTTAAATATATACAATTTTAATTAAAAAATATAAACATGTAAATAAAATGAGGTAAAAGACCTTGGAAAATTATATAAGATGAAATAGCAATGTAAATTGGAATAGAAAAGACAGCCTTTGAAATAAAATAAAAATCATTTCAGAAAAAAATAAAAAAATTAAAACTCAGGGGTGCCTGGCTGGCTCAGTCGGTAGAGCATGCTACTCTTGCTCTTGGGGTTTTAAGTTTGAGCTCCATGTCAGATGTAGAGATTACTTAAAAATAAAATCTTAAAAAAATTAAAACTCAAAAGTATGCTTTCATTTGTATTTTTCATATAGCAGTAAATCATTTAATGAAGCAAGTAGCTAAATATGTGCTTACATTTTAAAAGCTTCATTATTTTAGGGTGTGTTTGACAGAGCAAAAGAGGGTGAACATGGATGGCAGGTAGGAGGAAATAAATTGAGATTTCTGTCATGTCAAAACAAAATTTTATATGGCTGAAATATTTCATGTTAAACATATTGAAAGAAAATGTAGGAGAATATTTATTTGATCCTTGGGTTGAGGAGGACTTTCCAAGCGGGATCCATTGGTGGATACCATGAAGGAAAAGACAGATTTGAATGGCATTTTGAAAAATTGCAAACTAAATAAACAACTACTGTATATATACCACTTGCATTACAGGAGAGATGGGGTTAATATTAAGCTGTAGTTGTACTACTTAAACGACTTAAGCTGTAGTTGTAATTAATTCCTAAATGTTACTTAATAACAAATTAATTGAAAACATATTTAGTCAAATATTGATATAATTTGGGGGCAGAATGTAAAATTTAAAGGATATTTAAAATAAAACTGGATATTTTAAGGAAATTTGTCATGTCTGAGATGCTGGTTGGTGTTTACTTTTAGATGCTATGGGGCTATCAGTGTTTCTTTGCCATTAGGTGTATACTTTAGTGGTTAGGTTTGAGAAGCAATGCCACTCGAATATATAAAAGAACCTCTGTGGGTGCCTCGGTGGCTCAGTCAGTTAAGTGTTATTAGACTCTTGGTTTGGCTCAGGTCCTGATCTCAGGGCAGTGGGATCGGCCCCTCATAGGGCTCTGTGCTGAGCACGGAGTCTATTTTGAGACTTTCCCTCCCCTTTTGCATCTGTCTGCCTTCCCCTCTGCTCCTCACTGCTCCCCCAACGTGTCACGTGCTCTCTCTCTAAAATAAATAAATAAATAAACAAATAAATAAATAAATAAACAAAATCTTTAAAAAAGAAAAGAACTGCTCAATTTTTTAAAAAGATTCATTTATTTTAGAGAGAGTGAGAGAGAGAGAGCACAAGGGGGAGGGGCAGAAGAAGAGGAAGAGAGGAACCCAAGCTGACTCCACCCTTAGCACGAGCTGGAGGTGGGGTTGGGGTTTGATCCCACGACCCTGAGATCAGGACCTGAGCCAAACCAAAAGTCAGATGCTCAACCAACTGTGCCACCGAGGCACCCCCAAGAACCTCTCAATCTTAATTTATTAATAATTATCATAGCTAAAACTCAGTAAGCCTTTACTTTGTGTCAGGTATAAAACTTTACTTACACATATTCATCCAATTTTTACAACTGTTGTGTAAGAGAGGTAGTATTACTACCCCCATCTTATAGAGGAGAAATATGAGGTGCAGCTGAGGGTCAGTCCACATTTAAAGTAGAAAAATTGGGGGCGCCAGCATGGCCCAGTCAGTTGGGGCTCCCACTTGGGTCATGATCAGGGGTTGTGGGATCACGCCCCATGTGGGGCCCCGCGGGGAGGGCGGGGGAGAGGTGGAGCCTGCTTGGGATTCTCTCTCTGCCCCTCCTGTGCGCCCTAGCACACCTGCGTGCATGTTCTCTCTCCCTCTATCTCTCAAAAAAAAACAAAAGAGAAACAAAAACAAAACAAAAAGCTGGGTAAAAGGCAATTCATCAAAGAAAAATATAGTAGCTAATAATCACATAACCTTAATCTAATTGTATTAGTAGTCCTAGAAATGCAAAAAGGTGAGTGTTGTTTCTCACCTCTCACTGGCAAAGGAGACAAATGAAAACATCCAGTGTTGTTAATGCCTATGCAAATTAATACAAACTTACAAGATGCCCAGGCCGTCAGCCTTGGAAATAAGTGTGTCCTGTGACCCTGTACTCCACATCTGGGAATATGTCCTGTGGAAAAAGAGAAAGTTGCACCAGGATGTACTTATTTGGATAGTCCTTATAGTGTTGATTATGAAACTGAAAAAATGGTAGTAAGTAAATGTCCAACACTGAGTGATGGTTGAATAATTTATGGTACATCCATCCATGATGTGCTGATCAGTGTGAAAAATGACGTGGGTGTGTAATTATTGATAGACTGGCGCTTATAATATACTGCCAAGGATTAAAAGCAGATTACAAAATAAGATATTTTCCTTTTTATATGTGAAAGTACATATGCATTGGTGCCTGGGTGGCTCAGTTGCTTATGTGTCTGGCTCTTGATCTTAGCATGGGTCTTGATCTCAGGGTCATGAGTTCAAGCCCCACGTTGGGCTCTGTGCTGGGCATGGAGGCTACTTAAAAAAAAAAAAAAAAAAGAAAGTACGCATGTATTATAAATTATAGAAGAGTATTCATTAAATTTTAGCATCATCATCTTTGAGGGGATTGCAATTTTATTATTATATTTGTACAGCAACTGAGTATTACATGTGCAATTAAAAATGAAAAGTTTATTTTTAAAAAGAAGTGTCTCATTGTATTTTTCATGTAGTTATAGATTTCAAAGTACTGAATTTACTTAAAATTAAGTGTAGATCTACTGGTGAAGTGCTTTTAGAATGGAGGCAAAAACACAAGAGCAGTAGCTTAGGAAAATATCCAAGATGAAGAATTTGATAGATCAGGGTATACATAATTGGCTAGATTTGAGGCTTTGGGTAAATTACTTGTTTTCAGCTTCAAAGAGGAGTGTAAATATCAATAATCCCTGAGTGCATATAACTGTATCTAATATTTATAGTGATGACTGTGGGCTGTTAAGTTAATGATTTTGATGTATTGCATATCCTGATTAAAAAGTAAACAAGTATATTAGGGAATGTTAGAAATAATAGTGTCAAATAGTTGAAATTCATGCCTACCCTCCTCATTGTACATTTTACTTCCTACCTGTGCTAGATAAATCAGGCATGTTTAATAATGTTCGCAATTGTATACAAATGTTCATATTTCAAGCAAAAGCAGGGATTTGACAAATCTCCTGGATCTCTAAAATAATTTATTATATCTGGAATCTTAATTAAATTTTTTGTTGTTGTGGAGCTTTTTTTTTTTTTTTTAGATATTTGAAAGGTGTATTTATGAATCTACATGACCTAGGGCTAAGGACAGTTGCACCTCCTGGACACTACCCCTGGAGAGAGGAAACCTCAACCCAATCCAACCCCCTCCCCAGCTCTGAGCTCTTAGGTGATGTGACTCTTCTTCAGTGCCTCTCCCCAGCTTTTGTCTGGGGCTCTGGCTGGGTCCGGTTCCTAGGTTAAAAGTCTGTGAATGAATAAGGTGGGAACCTGGTTCTGAAATTCCTTGCCAGCCGATCTTTCTTTTTTCAAGGTTTTCCCCAGGAAGTTGGGACAGAATGGGCAGGTGAAAGGTGACCTGTGGGAATAGGTTTTCTCAAGGTGCAGACAGAGCAGGGAGGGCCCTGCACAGTGCTTTCCTGTGACCTGTCAGCCTTATTCCTCCCCCTGCCATCCCTCACTTCTTTATAGCCCTTTTCTGGGAATTCTGTTGCCCCTTCCCCGTTTGATGAATAGTGTGTACTGCAGGGCTCAGCTATGGCAGGCAGCATTCTTGACCCCTCATGTGCAGGTTAGCAGGCCTCCTATTTGTCTTCTGGGGTTATTCTGCAGGTTACATAAGAACAGGTAGTGCTTGTGTTCCTTGCAGTGCCCTGTAAGCTGCTGTTCTCTGAGGCAGAGTTATAGGAGCCCACACAGTCCTGGAATTTGATGTAGGAAAGACATTAGGGTTTGAAGCCAATGGCCAAGAAAGAATTCTCGAGATGTCTTTGGTGCAAAAAGCTGGTTTTATTAAAGTACGGGGACAGACTTGTGGGCAGAAAGAGCTGCACCAGCGTTATAAGGAGTGGCCTATTATATACTTTCAAGTTGGGAGGGGGTTAGGGAGAGCATAAATCTCTAAGGAATTTTGGAAGCAATGTTTCCAGGACCTTGAGGGGGCTAGCTATTGTTGGGAAAAGGTCATTTATTACCGTCTAATAAAACCTTAGTACTGAGACCCTTCAGATGTATATCGGTGAGCCATATGCTTGAGGGATGATTGCCAACATGTATTTTGGGGGGGTTTAGAGATAAAGGAAATTTCTAAAGGAATTTTTATATGTTAAAGTAGACTTACAGGATCCTGGGGGTCGGGCTAAGGTTGCTGTTTGAGTCCTAGAAGAATGTCACTCTGTTTCAAGGACTTGTCAGTGGGCTCTAGGTAGTAAGGAAATTTAATAATTTTTCTTCTGCCTTTGTTTCCCACATCATTATTCACTGCAGAAGGAACACAGATACTTTGGCGAAGCACAACAGATCAGAATAGAAATGCACTTTAATGTATGTGAATGGAGTAGGTTGAAGGTGCAGAAAATCTGTGTATAAGATTGGTCCCTTTACTATCTGAAGGGTATTATGCTTGGGCATAACCTTATCAGTGGTGTATAATGAGAGACTGAATGTATATTCACAGCTTTGTGTGCTAACTAATTTTTGCTTTGCAGAATTCCAAAGACATTTCTGCTTAGGGGAGGAGGTGTTTCTTTCCCCCATTAACTTGATTCTAACCAGGATAACATGTAGTAGTACCTTCTGAACTGCTAGTTGCCCTCAGAGGTACGTTGTGTATTCCCTGTGAGTTGCAGTAGGATTTTTACCTTTCTTTTTGTACTAATTTTGATATAGAAATAAGAAGGAAAGAATACATTTTCTTACCAATATTTCTACTGTTGATGTTTTAAGAATTATGAAGTTCTGTTCTTGGCGTTTTTTCATATGATAGCTTTTCTATTTGTTGCAAACCAGTGGATATTTTCAGTATATTGAGAAATTTAACAAAACAATAAAATGAAACAATAAAAGCAAACACAATACTGGCTATTTCAGTCCTTCCTTTGAAAAGAAATGGAATGTGAAGATTGAAATGTTTGAGATAGAACCTTAGTTCAGTTACCGACAGTTTCACTTCTCTCTCTCTATTTGATTCCTCTTCCTTCCTTCCTTCCTTCCTTCCTTCCTTCCTTCCTTCCTTCCTTCCTTCCTTCCTTCCTCTTTTCCCTTCCCTTCCCTTCCCTTCCCTTCCCTTCCCTTCCCTTCCCTTCCCTTCCTTTCTTTCTTTCAAGCACGCTGGTAAGCAGAGGGAGAAAGAGAGAGAGAATCTCAAGTGGACCCTGTGCTGAGCTCAGAGCCTGTCACGGGGCTTAATCTCATGACCCTGAGATCATGACCTGAGCCAAAATCAAGAGTCAGATGCTCAACTGACCAAGCCATCCAGGTGCCCCACTTCTCTGTTTTCAAATAAACAAAAGATCAGCACTCATACTAGGAAAAGTAAATGTTCAGATTTCTTAGTAGGTAATACAGTTTGATTGTAGTCTTTTAGAGTTAGCTGCCCAGAGATATGAATTGAAAAATAAAAATTCTTGCATGAAAATGTTTCCCTAGTATTAAAATTTAAATGCAAGCAAATTGGTTTAAAACTTTGAAAAAACCCCAACTGTTTAGGTAGTATTCTTAAAGCCTATGGTGAAACACACACATTTTTTTTTTTGTAATGTAATGCAACATTTATGGAATCTAATGCACTATCTTAGGCTCAAGTTTACAAAATGGATTTTTATGAAGTATATTCTTTTTCAGTCCATGCTTTGTGCCTGCTGGGGATGAATACATCTTGTATTCAAAGTGCTTTCCAGTGGGATTGGTAGAGGCAGCTCTTTAGCTGTTATTTGGCACCTCCTCTTGAAGGTGTGGGTCAGTGGACTTCATCTTCCCTCATGGCTAGGCAGAGGCTTCTTTGGGGGTGCTACAACCTGTCTGCTTGCCTGTCTGCCTGTCTTCCTTTTTTCTTTTCTTCCTTTCCTTTCCTTTCCTTTCCTTCCTTCCTTCTTCTTTTTTTTTTTTTTTAAAGATTTTATTTATTCATTTGAGACACAGAGATAGAGAGAGAGAATGAGCAGGGGGAGAGCAGAGGGAGATGGAGAAGCAGGCTTCCCCACAGAGCAGGGAGCCCGATGTGGGGCTCGATCCCAGGACCCTGGGATCATGACCTGAGCCTAAGGCAGACGCTTAACCATCTGAGCCACCCAGGCACCCCCCTTCTTCTTCTTCTTCTTTTTTTTTTAAGATTTTATTTATTTGACAGAGAGAGAGAGCACAAGCAGCAGGAGCAGCAGAGGCAGAGGGAGAAGCAGGCTCCCCGCTAAGCAGGGAACCCTATGTGGGCTCGATCCCAGGACCCTGGGATCATGACTTGAGCTGGGGGCAGACGCTTAACCGACTGAGCCACCCAGGTGCCTCCCTTTCCTTCCTTCTTATCAGTGAAGCTAACACTTGGGAAAAATTAGGCAACTTTTATGATAACATATATAAGCAGAATTGAAAATTCCCAGATGAAAATTCATAAGGTTACTATTAAAAACAAACAGCTGTATTTGACATCCCTTGAGGCCAGCCGATGTCAATTTTGTGCAGTTTTAATTGAAACATATTACTTGTTAAGTGTAGAGAAAAAAGATAGCATGATACTTGTGTACAGGTAATAAATTAAAGGTCAGAATGCTAAGAACTCTTTCAACCACACTTTCTCCTATTCTGTTTGAATTTTGTTACATTGTCTTTATTTGCAGTTGCAGTCCGCCTATGAACATGTATTAGGGTTTTTACATCTTCATGAGGAGGTTAGGGGATTGCATGATAAAAGGGATAGGAAACAAAAGAAATTGACCTTCCTTTGAAGCAATCATATTCAGTGTATTCTTTTAGCTACTGCCATGATGAAGAATTGGAGATGTTTGCCACTTTGAGGTTGGGGGTTAAATTCTCTTTCAATTCAAAAGCGATAGAAAATGATTGTTATAGTCTAGTAATTAAGAAGTCATTGTCCTCATTTTACTTGACATTTTTAATGCTCTTTCATTGCCAAGATTTGATTGTTTTTAACTCTTTTACAGATTTACTTATTTTAGAGAGAGCATGTGCGAGCGAGCATGTGAGTGGGGGGAGGGGCATAGGGAGAGAACCTTTAAGCAGACTCCCCGCTGAGTGCAGAGCCCCAAGAGGGGCTGGATCCCACGACCCATGAGATCATGACCTGAGCTGAAACAGAGTTGGACGCCTAACTGACTGAGCCTCCCAGGCACCCCAGATTGTTTTTAACTCTTAAGAAAACAACAGTGTGTGGGAAGAAATCCATTTGTCTCAAGAATAAGATTTTGCTTTTGATTTTGATTTTGCTTTTCTTTCCTTGAATGGTGCAGCAACTTACATATTTTCCTTGGGCCTTATTTTAGCTTTAATCTTGGTGGGTATACGTTGCATTTAAGGTATAGCTCTTGAAGAACAAGGGAAGGGCCAGCTAAATGTGTTCAGATTCCACTGTAAGCTTTTGGTTAATAGAGCTAACATTATCAGCCTATGGTAGTGACAGGATCTATGCTGGCTGTGAGAGGCCACAGAGACAGTTTTTAATTTGAATATGCAACAGGCTGGGCTGTTTATCACTGATTAATGCTGTAACAAAGTCACAAGGTAATATGGGAATACTGGATGGGGAGGGTTTAATTCCAAGATGGCAGGGATCTGAAATGTTTTGTGAGAAAGCTAATATTTGAGCTGGTAGAGATTGGATGGGATTTTTCAAGTATTGGTGGTTCAGAAGTATGTGTCTGAAAGAGGGAATCAGCAAAGGGGCACCTGGGTGGCTCAGTTGTTAAGCGTCTGCCTTCGGCTCAGGTCATGATCCCAGTGTCCTGGGGTCGGCCCCGTGGCGAGCTCCCTGCTAGGCGGTAAGCCTGCTTCTCCGTCGTCTCCCACTCGCCCTGCTTGTGTTCCCTCTCTCACTGTGTCTCTCTCTGTCAAATAAATAAATAAATAAAATCTTTAAAAAAAAAATGAAAGAGGGAATCAGCAGCTTGAGTAAAATCATGGCAGGATGTTTTTGACAGTTGTCTCTCTGTGGTTTGAGATGAAGTACTTCTAGAATGGTGGGTATAGTCAGGCTGTGAAATACCTTGAATGTTATACAGAGAAATTTGGATCTTTTTATTCTTTGGGGATGCCATTGGCCATTTTTGAGAAAAGTTTCAATATGAACCCTTTATGAAACACAATGGTGAAAATACAACAATAGGTATGTTTACAATTTTAATAAGAGCATTTTTCTTTTTTGGCTAGTTCTTTTGACCAAATAAAGTTTTTGACATTTATTCAGCAAATACATATTAAGTTCCAGTCACATGCAAGGTAATTTATATATGGGAATAAAGTATGAATAAAACCAGATCTGAATAAAAAAGAAAACAGATCTGGCCCATGAAGAGGTTTTAGCAGGATGTTTTGTTTTATTTTAAGCATTGAATATTACATGCCTGTTAAGAAGACTGTGTCTTCTAAAATAAGACTGCATTTAGAAACAGACCCATAAATTCAGAGAACAGACTGGTGGTTGCCAGACAGGAAGGGGTAGAGAGATGGGCAAAATGGGTGTAGGGGAATGGGCAATACAGGCTTCCAGGTATGAAATGAATAAGTCACGGGGATGAAAGGAACAGCATAGGGAATATAGTCAATGGTAGTGTCATGGCATTGTATGGTGACAGATGGTAGTTAAATTTGTGGCTAGCATAGCATAATATATAGATTGTCAAGTCACTATGTTGTATATCTGAAACTAGTGTAATATTGTTTGCCAACTATTATTTAATTAAAAATAAATAAGTCTGTATTTTTAAGAAATTTTGATCACCTTTGAATATTTTCCTTTTTGGCCAAATGACTGTAAAGCAGCATGTTTTCCTGTGGTTCGTGGGTGGCCATATGATTGCGGATTACAGTGGAAACATCCCAGTTCCATTTATCTGTCTCTCTGATTTTTGGGATATGATATAATTGGAGTATTCATATTTCACCCATTAGAGATTAGTTAGGTCATCAAGCTTTTTGTTTGTTTATTTCATGCATGAGGGTTAAATCACTTACAGTAATATGAGTTATTTTCATTGGCTGAAGTGACTTGGAGATGTGAGAGTTTAGGCATGAAGTGGAGTCACCCTCTATTTCATGGGAAGGGTGTTCAGAAAAGCCTGAAATCATTGCTGGGCAGCTCCTGCCTTGATTTCCTCTCTTCCAGTGATCTTGTCCCCACCCTACCTTGGTCAGTCATTCTTGTGGTCTAATATGTGCACTGTCTTCCTAATTCCAGTTTCAGGCATCTTATCCTGTGACATCCACCCCTGTCTCTTCAGCTCATTCTTTCTACTACCTTAATTCCAGGCACCCTTGAACCCAGCAGGAACTAAAATCCACTGATTCTACTTTTCATGGTTGCTCATCTCCCTCATGCTCTCACTTCCTCTCCAGCAGA